CCTATTAATAAAATAATTAGTAGTTCAATTAATTTTTAGGTTAGTTAAACAAAATAGAAAATCAATAGGATGAATAAAATGAATATTGGATAAATGGGACTAATGATGCATTAATTATTTTAAAGTATTTAGACGATTAATCATCATCAATTATAGAAAATTCTGATAAAAAACTTAGAGAGATATTCGTTTAAGTTGTTGAGATGAATAATAAATAATAAAATTAAACTTAATAACAACAATAGGGAAATAAAATTTAAAAAGTTTAAATTGTATCAAATCCTAGTTCATTATGTTCACGTATATGTTTAATTTAATGATCCAAAGATAAAGATAAAATGAAAATTAATTAATATAAATCAAACTTCATTTATTTTTCTTATTTTGTCTATTTTCTATGATTCTAAATAAATAATTATACTTTTAAATAGATTATTAAATTGATTATGTATAAAAGAACTGATAAATAAAATACCACATATTAACAGATTTATTTTTTAAATCAAATATTGAGTTTTCAAAATTTATTTTCAAATAATTTTGATGTAAAGTGAATATGTTAAAAAGTTAATGATAAAGTAGTTTTTGCTTGATTTTTGAATTTCTATTTATGGGGATCTTAAAAACAATATGATTCTAAAAATAATTGTAGTTTCAAATACATTGACAAAAATTAAGAGTAGAATGCAAAAATTGTAAATTAAAGTATATTTTGAGATTAATTTATAAAAACTAAGAAAATATTTAATTAATCAATTAAGAATAAGTAGTTGATTAGTAATATTGTTATTAATCCAAATAATTATGATTTCCACTTTGATCCACTCCTTTTTTAGAATTATAAGAATATCTCAGTTTTTCAGATTAAGTATTGATATTTATGATGGAATAAAAAATTAGTTTTATATAGTAAATGAAGCAGGATTCCCATTTGGAAGATAGCCAATTGATTTCAGCTATCGATTGATAATATGAATTATCGTTATCCCCACACTGTATTTTAATATATCATCATATAATTTTAATCCATCCTACAAGTAAAAAATAACAAAAAATAATTTCATATCTTTTAAATTTTAAATATTTATATGTTATTGAATAGATCATAAATAAAATAAACATTATGATGCTTTTGATTCTATCATCAATAATAAATTTGGGTTGGATGAAGAATTTGATTTGGCTAAATTTTCAAATTTAAGCTTACTTTTATCATTTTCCCGTAAACTACATCTTCCCCAATTCATGAAAAGTTGTTGTAATACTATATCTATAATCAATTTACTTAATATAATTAGATAGAATACTAAGAAAATATTAAAAAATTAACACTTAAATCTATTTTTTTAATACCAAATATTCCTCTAACTAAAATGGGCCATAGTAAATTTAGAACATGATTAATTAGAATTAAATATGTAAATTAAATATGAATTCATCTAAAATTATTTCTAGTTTATTTTTAATTGCCTCTAAGCTACCAATTTTATAAAAACTAAGTTCCTTAAAAAAGCAAGATTTAAAAAGTATTTTATTTAATAATTAAGTTAAGAAAATAAATACTCATTTACTGCTATATATCTTTATAATATTTTCAAATATATTAATACAATCAATACACCTTAAAGTTTGTTTTAATCAATAAATTTAGATTAAAACGAATTGAATTTATTTACATTTATCTCTAATTTATTCCTCTTATCTTAATTATAATTACATCAAAATGAAATCAATTAACCTATTTGATAATTACACTTTAATCTATTTGTTTCAATTATGCAAGCTAAATTGAATTATAGATTAAAGAAATAATAAGAAGATAAAATGGATATTAATTAATTTATATATTTTTGAAAGCATTTAATTTTATAGAATCAATTTTTCAATTCTAAAAAAGTTTTCTATAATCTGAAATGCATTCTGTTTTAATCTAAAAATAATTAACTCCTTTCTTTTGTAAATAATTTATGGCTTTATTATAAATTAATTACCAGGAACTCTTTGAATCCTGACAAAATAATTCCAAATAAAAAAGAGAAACCACTGTTGGCCAACATAGATCTTCTAAATGATATTTATTTTCTATTTTGCTTAACTTTAGTGAATCTTCAATATGTATTTCTAAGAGGAAGCTACCATTTGCTTACATGCAGTCAATTAGTTCAAAATATGCTAACATTTGCTAATCTTCTTAAAGTATTTTTGGCTTTGGAGCACATAGAATACTTTATTTAGGAAGCAATTTTTTGGGCTATTTTTAAGATTCGGATTAACTGTAGTTTTTTTCTGAATCTTCTTCTTCTACCATTTTTTTGCATTTTGATTAAAACTTCAAATCTTCAGAATCTTCTTCTTCTGCCATTTTTTAGGATTTTAATTCGAACATCAAATCTTCATCTTCTCCCATTTTTTATAAATTCTATTCTAACATCAAATCATCAGAATCTTCTTCTACTGCCACTTTTTTACATTTTTTTTATTTTAATCTTGAATTTTAGAAGCAACACATCAGCATTTATTGCTTTGGTAATTAATTCATTATCATTTTATTAGAAGTTTGTATATTTTTTTTCTTTAGACACAATTTCATTCCTTTATTAGTACTTTTTGGAATATCTTCATCTTCATCTTCACCTTCATCTTCCTCATTATTTTCCTCATAACTTTTGTTAATTGTAAGTTTTTTCTTAATCAGTGCTTAAAGATTTTATTCATTTTAGCATACTTCACAAATAAATGCTGTTTTAGAACATAGTATTTGATTTTATAATGATAAATTTATAATATCCAAATCTTTTATGCATTTTTCATTGATCATAACCATATCCATTTGTTTAGCTTATTAGGAAATTGATTTTTCATAATACCTTATTAGTCTATGAGCAGCTATTTTGTGAAAATATTCATTCTCTTTGGAACTATTAAGATTCATTTTTACTTCATATGAAATTTATTTATTCATTTATGGATCAAAACAATTAATTTTGAATTCTAAATTTTCTTTTTTCTGTTTCTTTGAAAATAAAATTTGTAAAGTTAACTCTTGATTTTTCTTTAATTAAGTTATTGATTTTGGATCAGGAATAATCTATGAAATTTTGTCGATATTATGTATTAATGAAAATCCTTTTAAATAATAAGTTAGGGAATCCTCTAACAAATCTATAACTTTAGAATTGATATCTTCATTATCTCCTACTAATTAACATTTTCCATTTCCAACTTCAGCTAATGTTTAAACTAAATACTCACTACAATGATTCCCAATACCTAATGTATAAATTCTAGTTTCAGGTCTTTGGTTTTTTGATACTAACTTGATGATTTTTTGAGGAGAATCCTCTCCATCTGTTAATAAAAAAGCGTTTAAAGTTTCTGAATGGTGTTTATTTTTTTAATAATTTTCATTATAAATGCCTTAGCTCAAGGCTTTTAATATATCAGTTCCACCCAAATCTGCATTCATTTCTTGAACTTACTTTATTGCCTAATTTAGTGTATGTTAATTATATGCTTGTTCAATATCAAACATCTTTTCTACATCACTGCCAAATGAAATAACGTTAAAAGTACAATCTTCTGGAAGGCTCTTCAGAAACAGTATCAGTGATTGTTTGGCTTTTTCAATTCTTATGCCTTCCATTGAACCACTACGATCAATAAAAAATAAATAACAACCCTTTTAGATTTTTGAATATTAAGATAAATTTAAGCCATTAATATATGATTGATAGGCATCATCTATTGGAAATTCATTAAATTTAGGAATGAGGGTTAGAGTAGCACAATATTTAATATGTTATAAAGCATCATTATTTGTATGGCTTAGTATTGCATAAGGATTATTAACATCATTGGAAGAAAATAATAATTCAAACTTTTTATTTGGTGCCATATTTTCAGGATCATTCGTATCTAAAGTAATAATCAATTAGTTCTATGGAGTTTATAAATCAATTTATTTTTCTTTGACATTAATATCAGAATTTAATACAATTGAGTGTGTTGGAGATTTAGCATATGTAATAGGTTTTTACATATTAATTATTACAGTAATATTTTACTTATAATTTAATTTCATTGCTTATATGTTTACATGGTTTTTCACAAAAGAATATTATTAAGCATAATTTTTCGATGTGTTCTTTAATTTATTAACTACAAGATAACTAGTATCTACCATAGAAGACAATTCTAATTTCCAAAATTAATTCAGAAATACTTATAATTGTTGAATGTATTCAAATTAAATTTTTAATGATTTACCAGGACTTAAACAACCAATTTTTACTTTTTTGATATTTGATATTTTTGAATCCTCTTAGCTTAATACCATTGTCTTTCCTTCTTATATTCCCTTTTCATATTCTTTTTTTGCCTCTTCTAATTCTTTTACAATTCCATAAACTTTTTAATCTCCAAGTTCAACTATCATCTTAGTAACAGCTGAATTTTAATCTATTGTAAACAAGTATTCTAATTCACATTGATCTTTGTTTTATTCAGTTGAATATATTTGACATATATGCACTACTGCTAAACCAGGTTATATATTAACAGTATATTAAACTTACTTTAATTCTATAGGCAATTTTGTCTTACTATCATAACAAACAATTATTGGTTGTGCCTACTTTTTTGTTATTGTGCTTAAACCATTTTTTTTCATATCATCTAGCTTAGGATTATACATTTAGGTTAGATAGTTATTAATAATTATTATATTTGAGATGTTGATGAATCAAATTTAAATGTAAATTAATGTATATTTTATCAGTATTACATCATTAAGTTAACCAAATATCAATATTAATAATTCAAATTTTCAAACTGAGAGAAAACTTATAAAGAATAACATAATTTAGCCTAAAAGAATGTAATTATTATTATAGTGATATCTATTGCAAGATAAATATTGTTGAATGATCATACTTTAATAAACAAAATTTAAGACATTGCATTATAAAGAATCAAAATAGTGGCTTTATAATAATAATTAAAAAAATGATCATTATTAATGATATAATACTTTAAAATAATAATAGTTAGATAAATCCTAATATTATAAGGGTCTTAATTTATTATATATTTCTATTTTTATCAGTTTTTCTTCTTAAATCAAAGATAGTTATAATCATTGGTATAGCTCGTTACGACATATAAAAATGGTTCTAATACATAATAAACTCTATTTTTAATATTAAGATTAATTTTTAATTAATAGATCTAAGTAAAGACCCATTATATGAATTAGAGAGATGCTTTTAGCTTCATGTTACGAATTAATTATAAAACCTTTTATTGTGCAAAAATTAGGTGCAATAAGGTATTTAATAATGAGTTTTATTAAAAATAATAATGTTAAATTATTTACTTTCATTCCTATCTAATATTAATTCTTTTTCAGATTATAAATTTTTTATCACATACCAATACATTATTCAAATTAAAATTCAATTTTCAAACATATAATATTTACCATAAGAATTTAATTATTTCATCATTTAATTATGATGTTATTAATAATCAATATGAGTATTTCATTTAGAAGAATTCAATAAATTCTACATTCATCAAATTTGAAATTCAAGATTAAAATACAAAAAAGTTGAATTCTATATCCTCTAATTTCTACATTTATCCATTATACTAGAATCCAAAAATTCTCCTTCTTATTATGTTCTAATACTAGAATAATTCTATCATTTCCACATGAAATCAAATTGCTATATGATAGACTCAAACTAATACTCGAACCTATTCATCGTGCTCTAAAATTGTCTAACTAACTTATCCATTTAGTTGTATTACCAACAATACCATTAATTAGTTCAATTTTGATATTTTAAAAGACCCTCTGAAATTTCTTTTATATTTCGACGAGAGCATGATCTTAACTTGTTGGTTCTTAATTTCTTCAAATTGGTTTACTTGATCTCTCCGAAAATAAGAAATAAGTAATAAATTTCTCATTTTATTTAATATAAATTTTAAGAGATTTTTTGATAATTAAGATATTAATTTTTTTTTTTCAAAGAAACTAATATTATATTAGATTTAAAGAAACGTTACATTATTAATAATGTGATAATCAATATCCCCATGAATTTTCATGATAATGATTAATTTTAAATTTCAACTTTACCTTTATTACTTAATTGTAGACAAGGGGATAATTCCAAGACAATTTTGATGGTAATAGCCTTAATTAAGCCTAAAAGATTGATAAAAATAATTTAGTTGTGGATAATTTAGACCATTTTTATATTTATTTTAAAATTTTTACCTCGAAAATTTATTAATAAAACTTGTTGAAAAACCAAACCTAATATATACTGTCAATTCTTTTTAATAATAATAACCAGGATTATGTATGCCATAAGTTCTTTTAAAGACCATTAGTTTCGTTAAATATACACTCCTAGAAAATTTCTTCGTTATTCTGTAGTTTTTGAAGTAACATAATTGGTAAACATATGAGATAAATATAGCTCGGCTGCTATCAATTTGAAAAATAACTCGTCTATCTCCTATTTATTTAGTAATTTATCAGTAACAAATTACAAAACATTAACATTTTGTATTTAATGTGTAAATCATAGGTAAAAGGAAATCTAAATTAATTAATTTATATTGTACTTTTCCTAATATATAACTAGATTAATCTAGGGTTTGAAGTAAAAGACATCCTTTTCTTTAAATTCAATTATTTGCTTCATCTAAAATAATTGATATTATATTATAGATTCTTCATTTTTTTTAGATAAATTCTATTGCAATGATTCTAATATTTTCTAAACTCCTTGTTATTCTTTTGCTTTTCCCATCTAAATTAAGATATTTAAAAAGATAATCCGACACTTTTTTAGTGCATTTCTATTTGTTATTTTCTAAATTTTTCTTGATCACTTGTACTACAATAATTTTGATCATTTACAAGTTAGAGAGTTTAAGAATTCCGAAGAAAAAAGATAAATTGTTTAACAGGAAGGTTTATACATAAAATCTGTTTCATTAAAATGAGATTTTATAGAGTTGTATTAATTAAGAAAAATGACAATAATATTATATCTTTACAACTGAGGAATTATTTAAGTTAAAAGATAAATTAATATTTGATTATTAATATTTTAGTATTTAAATATTATGAAAAATTTCTTACTTAATCTTCTACATTAGATAAGGTATTATTGATTAAGTGATTTTTTTGTTGAGCTCTATTGTAGAAATATTTAAATTAAAACATTACTCCTCAACCATTAGTATGATCATGAAGTATCCCCTGAATATATTATTTTGTTTACAGAAAATCATTTTGCTTTACTCTTTACAGATTGGTTTGTAGATATATTAAATAGATTTAATGTTCCAAAGTTTGTTTTAACTTTCTCTATAAAGAATAAATATTTACAAATATTAATAGAGCGATCAATTACTAATTAATTAGGAAAAAAAAATTTCCAATCGAAGTCTTCGAACTTATGGCTCAAGCGATTATCGCTGATAGTATCAATACAATGAATCCTATATTTGACTATTATGATTCGAACCTCGATTTTATTCTGATTTATCATAACTTTAACTTGAAAAAAGGAAAAATTATCAATAACTACTAAATCTTCCATCCATTATTGGATAATGAATAAAATTACTAGAATTATTATTTCTTAAATCCTAAATATCATTATAGATTGACTAATTAATTAAAGGATTAAATTTAATTGAGTTATGGGAGAAAACTTTACTTAACTAGTTCCTATAACCTATCGAATAAATTAAATAAATAGTTAAAGAAATTTTG